CGCCCTGAACCTCTGGTGCTATGCACTCTGTGTATGTATGTATGTATGTATGTATGTATATATGTATGTATGTATGTATGTATGTATGTATGTGTGTGTGTGTGCGCATGTGTGTGTATCTCCTGTCGCCAAGGATTTGTTCGTAACTTTCGTTTTTGCAGGGGAATGGAGGAGGCATACGAGGCTCCATCCAACGAAGCTCCTCGTATGACCTCAGGATATTCACAGGGACGCCTGTGAACGTACCTGCCAAGTTTAAAAGAGTGCAATGCAGTAAGCTAGAAAAATGAGGGAGCCTGTCCACGCAGCTGAAGAGAGATGTAAACGTTCTGAAGCTGCCAGTCATGAGTTCATTTCTGAATTGGAGACCTGCACATGTGTGCTCCAGACAGCTTCGTTCAGCGCGCTGGCTGCTCCGGGGTTGCCCGGATGAAGGTCATGCCAATGACCAGTTACAGTTCCCTGATCGGAACACCGTTCCTTGATCGGAACACCTGACCTAAGCCTGCTGACTCTGACACCGTCTGCACATCGCCTGAAAATCAGTCTGCCGACTTTCAATACATTCAACAATGTCTCCAACTGAGCTCATCCTTAACACTGAATGCGCTGATTTGTCTTTGTCTGTAGTTTGAGTCGGTCCAAGAGTAGCAGAAGCGCCTACTGTTGCAGCAGCCGAACCAACAATCCCATCTCACTTCAAGAGTGACGACAAATTCTTTGATTCGACCACTGTCGGATCAGGCAATCACCAGCTTCATCGTGTGGTTCAGTCTACTGATTGATCCAGAAAGGCCAAATCGCTGGCAGACCTGTTGATGATCTTCGAGTGCATGAACTGTGTTTTCGCGGAATGAGTGAGTTTTCGTTGCGCATGCTATCGGAAGGGCGGTTCCAATCCATTGTCTGGAAGCGCAATACGGCAGAGAGTGTTTTGGTCACGCAGTTGCTCAAGGGCATTCGTGAGATGAAGGTTGATGCTGATTCTGTCGCACTGGAGTGTCTCAAAGAACGCAGTCTTCCTGTTCATGACAAGCACAAGCAAGCCGCAGCCTTCATGCAGCCGTTGATTGATTTGCTGTTGAAGAAGATCAAGTCTCATGTTCCTTCAGTTGCAGCTTCGTCTAATGCTGACACGGAAGAGTTGCTTCGAGCCAAAGCCAAGCTTGCGCAAGCTGGTATCGCCTTGACTCCTCGGAAGCGAGTTGCTGAGCCAGGTGCTGCATCGCAGGATAATGAAAGTCCGAAAAAGCCTCAGAACACGAAAGACTTGCCCATTGAAAGCAAGCGTGGCAAGAAGCGCAAGGCAGACGAAGAGGATCCTTCCAGTCAGATCAAGAAGCTCTTGGGCGGTCAAGCAATCACATCTTTGAAAGAAAATCGGCCGAAGAGCAAAACCACGGAGCATGTTGAGGCTTGGATGCAGACGTTCAAGCAACAGTACAAAGGCAAGTTTCGTGAGCTCAACAAGCACGTCTATTTTGTTGTCAAGTTACTGACAGAGAATGCAGACAAGAATGAGATGGTGGAAGCAGCCATCAAATTCGAAGTTGATCGCAAATTTGCAACCAGATTGAGCATCGCAAACCTTCGCAAGTGCATTGCCGTTGCTCAGTACCAAGCTGCCTGACTCGCAGTGCAAGTGGAGAAGATAGATATGACGCATGCGGTCGTACGAACTGCCTTGCTGCATGACATTTGTCAGCTAGGGCAGGCATTAACCTTTTTCAAACATGAGTGCTTGCATCTTCCGAAAGCTGACATTAATTGGGCCTGTGTTTGACCTTCGACTTGGGAGAGCTCTTTGTTGCTGACTGGGACCGTCTCCCGTCACCCGTTGGTAGAGCGGAGGGCATAGCTTACCGAGCAGCGCGCCATGGGTTTGTTTCCTATGACGACCTTATGACTCTTGTGTGCAGACTTCCGAGTTCTGATTTGTCTTCCAGACCGATATTCAATATGCATGAGTCCTTGGTATTGCTCTGGAGTGGTCTCAGAATGCCCGTGAAGTCGCATTTGCACATGTTTCTTCAGGCCCAGACCTTCTTGAGCCTGGAGTCCTCTGATTGCACGTTGCTTCTTTAGGCTTGGTCCTGCTCTGACCACTTTCTGACGTCGCATGAAACTTTTGGTCACACCCTAAACCTTTGCGCCGTAAACCCCGAGCTTCACTTTCATCAGGTTCTCTCTTTTCGCTCGTTGTTTTCTTGCGTCCATCAGTGGTTGTGCCACTGTCCCAATCATTTCATCAGGCCTGTCTCTTGACCATTTCCTTTTCGCTGCCATCCAATCATTTGACGACGACGACTACGACCATCACACTGCCTATTGGTCGAAGGCGCGAATCCAGCCAAGAGGAAGATGTTGTGCCTGCTGGCTGACATGGCTTGCACAAGTACTCAGATCAATTACAATTTGAGGACGATTCCTCATCGAGCACCACAATAGATTCGGTTTCCGATGGAAGATGTGCACAGAACTTGGCTTGATATCGCTCTGGATTGGCCTCAGAGTGACCGTGAGGTTGTATTGGTGCATTTTTCTCCATCCAGGGTTTGGCCCGAGAAAACCCCGAGCTTCACTTTCATCAGGTTCTCTTCTCCATCATTGTTTTCTTGCGTTCATCTGTAGTTGTTTCACTTTCCCAGTCACCTCATCGGGCCTGTCTCTTGAGCGTTTCATTTTCGATGCCATCCAATCATTTGACGACGACGACGACGACGACTACGACCACCGCGCTGCCTATTGGTCGAAGGGGACGACGACGACGACTACGACCACCACACTGCAGGCTTCAGTCTTGGATGGGGCGTTGACGGTTGGACTGGTGGCCAATTATTCATTCAATATACATATGGATCGTCCACTTTACAAGTTACAGCGTATTGGTCGAAGGCATGAGTCCTTGGTATTGCTCTGGAGTGGTCTCAGAGTGACTGTGAAGTCGCATTTGCACATGTTTCTTCAGGCCCAGACCTTCTTGAGCCTGGAGTCCTCTGATTGCGCGTTTTTTCTTTAGGCTTGGTCCTGCTCTGACCACGTTCTGACGTCGCATGAAACTTCTGGTCACACCCTAAACCTTTGCGCCCTAAACCCCGGGCTTCACTTTCATCAGGTTCTCTCTTTTCGCTCATTGTTCTCTGGCGTCCATCAGTAGTTGTTCCACTTTNNCATCGGGCCTGTCTCTTGAGCGTTTCATTTTCGATGCCATCCAATCATTTGACGACGACGACGACGACGACGAATACGACCATCGCACTGCCTATCGGTCGAAGGCGCGAATCCAGCCAAGAGGAAGATGTTGTGCGTTGACGATTGGATTGGTGGCCAATTATATATTCAATATACATATGGATCGTCGACTTTGTAAGTGACAGCGTATTGGTCGAAGGCATGAGTCCTTGGTATTGCTCTGGAGTGGTCTCAGAGTGACTGTGAAGTCGCATGTGCACATTTTTCTTCAGGCCCAGACCTTCTTGAGCCTGGAGTCCTCTGATTGCGCGTTTTTTCTTTAGGCTCGTCCTGCTCTGAACCACGTTCTGACGTCGCATGAAACTTTTGGTCACACCCTAAACCTCTGCGCCCTAAACCCCGAGCTTCACTTTCATCAGGTTATCTCTTTTCGCTCATTGTTCTCTTGCGTCCATCAGTAGTTGTTCCACTTTCCCAGTCATTTCATCAGGCCTGTCTCTTGACCATTTCCTTTTCGCTGCCATCCAATCATTTGACGATGACGACTACGACCATCATAATGCCTATTGGTCGAAGGCGCGAAGCCAGCCAAGAGGAAGATGTTGTGCGTTGACGATTGGATTGGTGGCCAATTATATATTCAAGATACATATGGATCGTCGACTTTACAAGTGACAGCGTATTGGTCGAAGGCATGAGTCCTTGGTATTGCTCTGGAGTGGTCTCAGAATGACTGTGAAGTCGCATGTGCACATTTTTCTTCAGGCCCAGACCGCCAAGACCTTCTTGAGCCTGGAGTCCTCTGATTGCACGTTTCTTCTTTAGGCTTAGTCCTGCTCTGAACCACGTTCTGACGTCGCATGAAACTTTTGGTCACACCCTAAACCTTTGCGCACTAAACCCCGAGCTTCACTTTCATCAGGTTCTCTCTTTTCGCTCATTGTTTTCTTGCGTCCATCAGTAGTTGTTCCACTTTCCCAGTCATTTCATCAGGCCTGTCTCTTGGCCATTTCCTTTTCGCTGCCATCCAATCATTTGACGACGACGACGAATACGACCATCACACTGCCTATTGGTCGGAGGCGCGAATCCAGCCAAGAGGAAGATGTTGTGCCTGCAGCACTGCTGAGCTGATTGATGCTGTTACTGAGCTCTTTCGGAAGCAAGGGCAGACGCAAGACTTACTCGTGAAGCTGCTAGCGGATTTTGCATCGTTGCAAGCGCAGAGTCAACCTCCAGAAGTGAGCGTGGATGGCATACCGGCAGCGCAGCCGTATGACGGATAAACTGCCCCTTCCCTCGAGAAGGGGCGTGTGTGTGTATCTCCTGTAGCCAAGGATTTGTTCGTAACTCTGATTTGAAGTCCCCGTTCTGTCAGAATCCTGATTAGTGGAGGAATGTTCTAGACACTGAAAGGAAAGATTATTAGCAATTTGTCAGGCCTTTTATGTATACACACTTGAGCCCTACAGAACCCTTAAAAGAACCCCTACAGGAATCTTTATAAACCAGTCCAAACGTAAGGACATGGGAACTGCAAGGAGCTACGATTACTAGTTAATCCTACCTACCTCATCAAACCCTTACATGATTTTATCAGAAGCCCCATGAATCCTGACCCTTGGAGAAGATTCCGGAGTCCCAACGTCATCATGCAGGAAAACCCTAACAGGAGACAGCGCACATGCGCACGCACACACACACACACATGTGTGTGTGTGTGTGCAGTCTCCAACTGAGAAATGAACTCATGACTGGCAGCTTCAGAACGTTTACATCTCTCTTGAGGTCGAAAAGACTTTGATCTCTCACCCCTGCATTGCCCGTTTAATGCCAGCTTTGGTACTCAAGCCAGGGCTGAAGGCAGTGAAGGTCATGGCCATGTTGATGATCTCGAAGACAGGGAACTTCAACCTCACAGACATGCTCCAGTCCGCTCTACTTTGATGTGCCATCTGCGCCATCATTCAAGTTTAGGCAAGGCACATGTTGGTAGGGAAAGTCGTAAGAAAGAAGTTGGAGATGAGCTTGAAGTTCATCTCCTTCAGCGCCTGGTATCCACTGTTGTGCCGCCACCCGCTTTCTCGGTGGGAGGATGGAAGTGCAGCATGGCGCAACTTCACTGCCTGGCCTCGGAGATCGTCATTCGCTTCACCAACAGGCGGTTCACCTGCAGATCTGCGAGGTAGGAAGCAAGAGGCCTGTCAGCGTGTGCCTCAACGCCTTAATGTGGGCCAAGTCGCGAGCGGCTCGCAGATGGCAGACAGAATTGCCGCCACGAATGCGGCCTCAAGGGCGCTTCAAGTCAGGCGACACCCACGCAAGCGAGCTTGCTCGTGGACAAAATGGAGGGCCAGCCCTCCTGATGTACGCTGCACTGCAGCCGAGGCACTGTGGCGCCCTGAGCACCGGCTGCAAAAACCTCCAATGTTCAGCTGCTAACTAAGTCAGGCGCATTTTCATCCCGATGCAGCCTGCTCTGCTCCAGCTTGCTAGTTGTTACCTCGCCACGGCTACTCTTAAACTCCGCAGGCCTTGCTAAAGAAGTTGGGTGCTGCTGCTGCAGCGGCCGTTGCGACAGCAGACGAGTCGCGTGACTGTTCACGCAGAGTGCCAATCATCCCGGTCCTGCCATTCTCACGATGCTGATTGCATGTGCTCGGGATCTCGTCATCAAACCTGCGTCCTGCTGGAAGACTGGGTGAGAGCGGTGGAGCTCTGGTGCTGCACGGAGACGGAAGGGCTGGCAAACCCCTGTGGAGAGCCTGCATTCCACCTCAAGGCAGAAAAAACCGTAATTGCGAGGGGCTGCCATCTTGACTTTGCGAAGACGACGCCAAGCCACAGCAGGACACACGCCAAGGCAAGAATAACAGCCGTTGATCGAGTGCGGCTTTGGCGCGCCTCGTGCACATCCAGTTCATTAGCATCAGACATGCAGGGCCATGTTTTGCAACACAGATCTCGTATGCAAACCAGCTTCCATTGTGATTCGCAGAGAATGGTGGGTGGCGGCTTTAAAGGGCAATCAGAACCAACTGCGGATTCGATAGATTGCCGATCGATGGGCACAAAATAGCACAAAGCAGGTCTTGCAACACACAGTATATACGCGTTCGTTTCTTTGTCTCAACTGCACGGTCGGGTTTTAACACAGTCGAAAATCAGATCGAAAAATGCAAATGCAGTATAAAAGCTGCTTTTGCAGCGATACAGAGTGGCGGGATCCTTTCTCCATGCCTGGGCAGAATACCGCTCATAGGAGGTTGCCAGATGCAAGCTTTGTCTGGTCGTCCTCGTCCATAAGTAGTTTACCTGACAGGATTCTAGGGTTGCTCGAGCTCTGCGCCAGCGTGCTCCTGTACTGAATCCCAGCCGCTTGGTGGCCATAACGATCGCAACGATGAGGACGGCAACGATGCCCAGAGCCAGGGCTGTGTGCTCCTTCATGTACCTTGGAAGAGGTACCGGGTGGACACGAAAGAGAAGCTTCAAAGACGGTCTCGCAGCTGGAGCTGCCGCATCAGCCGAGGGACGCGAAAGCATCCTCGGCGTAAGGTGTAACCAGCATGCCAAACATCAGCGCAATGCCCATGATGGAGGAGCCGATTCCTGCTCAAGCGCCATCCAAAGATTTCGCCGAGGGTTCACTGCAGACACGCTGTGGCAGTTAGTTTTCGTGGTTTTTGCCCTGCTCGGTCCTGTGGATCGAGCATAGTTGATGGGCTTGAAGTAGATGTTGAAAGGCAGCCTCGCGGAGGGATGCAGAGGACAGGGGAATCGGAGCCGGCTCGATCCCTGTGAACGCT